TCTAAATTTAAATAGTCGCTCCTGCTTAAGGCAGGGGGGTTACAATTTCGAGTGCTCCCACAAATGTGCAATACTTGTTGCATCACATGCTGTTAAACTTCAGAGGCAGAGAAGACAAACATCAAAGATCAAACCGTGATGTCACGGAGGTGACATCACTCTGATCCTTATCGTTATTGAATTTCCTGAAGGGCATTTAACGCTGCACACTTCGTTACATTATAATTCTGGTGGTTTTTAGCCTGAGTTCAGCAGCTTTTCTCCCTACTCTTGGGTCTTAGAATAGTTTATGACATTTTAACCCTATGATCATATTAATATTAATATTAATTTTAAATTGTAATCCTTTTTTACTCACTTTTATTCATTCCATTAGCGCAAGCTAATTTAGATCATCAAACATTATGGCTAGCAAATGTAGTTATGACTTAACCTGATGATAGCCACATTTTAAGTCCAGTTTACTAAAAACTGTCGATTCCTATCTAAGGCAGAATAGTGATCACTGCGTGATTGTCCATTTGGTAGAATAACTAAGGGAGAACCAGTTCTTCTCTAGTTCAAAAATACCATGTTCCCATGTAAAAGGGGAGACTTCGGGCTTTGATTTTCACCTGTTCAGAGCAACACTTTCCATTAACCAGTTCTAAAGGGTCAGAGACTTAGATTACAACTCAGGACTTATTTGTATTGCATTGAGTCACAGGGGAACTCCTACTCCTCAAGACAAGCCATGGCCACAGATATTACTCTCTTGAGCTGTTCTCAAGTCACCTGCCACTTGCTAGCTAGAGTAACAGGCAGCCAACCATCAAAAGTAGAGAGGGTCCTAGTTCTAAAAGGGCTCTACACTTATAATTTAGCTAGGTTTTGTTCTACAACTGTCTTCGGACTATAAGGAAGTTAATATACTGGCTGAACAATAAGCTTTACATAATGTGAATATCTGACAATTATTTTAACTTAATAAACCCAGAGAGCAGTCTGTAAATCCTTTTTTTCAACTTAAAACAGAAATGATGCCAGGCTATGGACATTTATATATTCATATTTTCTTAACAAGCTCTCACTGACCTCTGTTGCTGCCGGCACTTTAAAGTAATTCATCTTTAAAGTTTACAACAGAAAGTTCTTCCAGTTTAATCTCAACAGCTTAGTTTATTTTGCTCCCCCAAGCAGTTTGCCAAACTTTTATGCTCCAACATAAACACAGAGCAAGTGTACAGGAAGATGGGATAGCTGAGACTGGGCTGGAGCTGCTTCACTGCTTCTGATATAAAATTTGATGATATATTATTTCACAATGCCTGCAGCTACAGAGGTGAGTGAGGGCTTGCTGTAAAGCTCATTTATGGTCTGTTAAGTATGTATAAAAATTGAAATGATCATAGTCTGACCACAGTTCTACTTTAAAGATATACTGTATTTGGACAGCATATTGATCTCCGCAGTGTTTGCACTGGGGTTAGTCCTGTGTATTCCTTATTTTGTAACACTATGGTGGCCGAGCAGAGGGTTCCTTTCCCATTAATGAAAAAATAAAAAATCAGGTCACAGAGAGATTCATGCCCTTTTATTTGAGCAAACATGTCACGTTTTCTTTTAAACTGCTGTGAGGCATTAGAACTATATTTGTAAATCTGCTTGTTGGTGATGCATGGTTTGAGGTGTCTGTTTCTGCTTTTCAAAATGTCCCAGGATGCAGAGTCCATTACATTGCAAGTAGGTCCTGAGGCAATCAATACCATAATCTTTGTTGCTGATCTGAAATGGAAGAATTTCTGCCTCAATGGGTCCTGAGTGAAAATAAATTGCATTTATAGCCAGAATTTCTGTTTTTAGTTTTGCAGAGTATGGAAAGGCTAAAACCTCTATTTTTGCTGTTTTTTTCCCTACTGGGAAGATTTCCCTTTACTTCCTGTCAAGACTAGAGATGAGATTCGGGTTCGGCACTACCATGGGTTTGTGGTGAATCCTGCATGTTCAAAATTTGTGGAAATATATAGGGAAAGCTGCTGACAAACTGCAACTTCTCCCTCTACTCCTCTTCCCCTTCCTCCTTTACCTCCACCTCCTCTGCCTCCTCCTTATATATGACTTTGGAGAGAATAGTGCCCCTAAATTAAACATGGTGAATGTTAGATAGAAAAAAACTGCGCTTGGAATCAAATAACACTCTGAGAGCAGCTGTGCTTAATAGGGGAGTACACCCAAAATAAGAAAAAAGAAAATAGCACTGCGCTTCAAACTCAAAAATTATATTCCTAAAATGTGAAAAAAAATATTATGAAATGTGAAATAGTCACAAAGTGATAAACAATTTGGTGTCATACACAACACCTGTGTTGCACAATGCCTGTGCTGATGATAGTAAGAAAAAGCTCTAGGTCTAATGGTCTAGACACTATAAACCATAATAAACATAGGAAAAAAAACATGCTAGTACATCTCATAAAATGTGTACATATAGAAAATCCTGTGTTAAATCTCACAAGTGATGTACAACTCCCACTTAATCTACATAACCACATGTGAAGTCCATTACTTCTGGATATAAAAAAAGTCCTTGAAATATGTGAGGATATATCTTCCAACTTTTATAATCGACACCACGTCCGTGAATGCATAAACAATTAGTGAATCAGTGCTCTCCAGTCTCCACCGTGCTCAAAGATAAGATCTGGCCGCACTCACCGACTCCTATTGCTCACCATATTTCAGATGAACAATTAGCGCTTTGTTGCTATATATATAGAACCAAATCCTCTCCTTTGTTTTTAATCCGACAATACATTGGGGTAGATTCCTCCCAACTCTGGCTTATCTTTCCAAAATCGTGTAAAACTATTCCTCCATCTTCCACCTTCTCTTGTGCTCAGAGAGAGAAAAAAAGGCTTCCCATAGTGTAGTATGTCAGAATAAATTTATTTAAAACGATTAAAATGCACTTACAATTAAAATAAGGCAATTGCACATGGATTGTGTCCACTAGAGCTCCTGTCTCTATGATTGCAATGCTCGCATAGATCCGCCCACCTGGTGCATTTCGTCACTATTGACTTCCTCTGAGGCGACGGTCTGCATACGACCTGCATACGATCCTCAAATCATCTTTGAATTCGTGCTGATACTGCCCTTCCTTCTGCAGGGTGGCTACTTTGGTTCCCCATGGTCTCTGTGTGTGTTGTAAAGTAGCCACCATTCCAAGCTAGGGTTGCCACCTTTTCTTCAAGCGAAACCCGAACACTCAAGCGACGCACAGACATTTTTGGGGGAGAATGAGTGGTGGCTTATTCATATGTCAATAGCTCTGCCCATTCATATGCAAATATCACAGTTGAGACTATTTTCAGTGGGGGGCCAGTAGCCCCTATCTTAATTTTGGTTGCCCCTGTCTGCCTGACATCTTGTGTCCGGGTCTCTGCTGCCATGAAACCCGGACACAGCATTCCAAACCCGAACTGTCCGGGTGAATCCTGGACAGGTGGCAACCCTACTCCAAGCTCACTACTGTAAAATCTCACGTTTAGTTTATTAATTTGTATTGAGATTGTAGTCCATCACGGGAGTGAGCTTGGAGTGATGGTTACTTTACAACACACTCTGGGACCATGGGGAACAAAAGTAGCCACCCTCCAGAAGGAAGGACAGTGTCAGTATGAATTCAGAGATGATTTGAGGATCTACAGCTGAGTGATACACAAATAAGATACATTTTTGTTAAACGTTTGGGTACTTGAATCCATTTTTAAGATTTATCTCCTGAGCTCAGTATCACAAAAATCCTGTTTTTCCAGACACTCTTGATCTTAATGAGGCCAAGATGATTTTCACTCTTGGTCACAGTTTTGGAAAGTTGCAGCCTTGTATCTGTTGATGTTTCAGGGGGAAAACCCTGCTGTAGAAACACTAGAAAGGGCAGTCTATAAATATATACATTACACAGCCAAATTTGGGGATTGGAAGGATTAGGACAGGGCTTGTTTTATTAAACTTAAGGGGAACTTCCAGCCACGTTGCTAATAACATAGATGAAATGCATATTTGTGACTTGTTTTACTTGCCGTGTTATTTATACAGCTGGACACATTTTATAGTCAGGTAATGGCCATTTTCAAAGATTAGTGACACCATATTCAATACTTGTTGTCCAAGAAGCTTATTATGTTTGCTCTCCGCTCTTAAACCTGCTTGCTTGACTGTAAATAAGGTAGATAAATTCCAGGAAATTACATTAGTAGTACCTAAAATACACCTATTAAGAAATCATAACAATGACCTTTTCTTATTTTCTCCATTTTGCTCTGTTAAATATATTATTGAAAGAGTTTTGTTAAATCTGTTTGAAAAGTGCAAAAAATATACCTGTTAATTCTGCCAGAAATCTTGTCAAGCTCCTAACGTTTTGTACATTCTGCCGCTGCAGCACTGTTATCAGTTGGCATTATTTCCTGTTATCTCTGTGGACCACAGTACACCTCCCCCTGTGTTCACGTGAAAATGGGAAGGTGTCTGTAGTTTTAAACATTTCCTGTCCCAGGGTGACAATGCTGCTCCTCCACAGGAGGACGACGACGAGTGAGAGTTGCCATCCTAGAACAGGAAGTGAGGGTCTGGCAGGATCACCCGGTAAATAAAGGAAAATAAACATGAATAAAGGAAACAAATGCAGCCACCATTTCTAGGAACTGATAGACAGCAAAACATAATTTTTTTGTTTTAGATAAAGTTTACATTTTATTTTTTATATTTTCTGGTGATCTGATTTTAGTTATTGTGCAGCATAGTAGTCATCAAATATGACTAATCTGTGCTTGTTCATACAGGTACATTGCTATAAAGATGAGTGTGTTTATGTATTTATGTGTAACACAACCAAAGCCTAATTTCTTTTGTTTTTCAATCTCAATGTGTAGAATTCACCAAGATAAAATATTATGGAAACTGGAGGTGCTTTAAAAGTGTGTGGGCAAGATACCGAACTAGCATATATAGGGCAAGATACCGGACTAGCATATAATGGACAAGATGAACCCCCCACGTCCATGAATCCAATTGGCCCTGAAAGCTTTTCGCAAATCACCTTCACAAACATAAAGCCGTCTTATATACCTAGAACTGATATCCAATGCAACTTTTACAAAAGACAAGAATTCCAGTCTGGCTCCAAAGACTGGGTGGGAATTTTTAAGGTAAGATGGTATGAAGTTATATATGGATACAACTATCTTTTTAAATGTACAGCTGGACGAAGTTAGCCCAAAAATAGGTGTGGTATTTAGCTAATTACATTCATTTGTACCTGTAACAATTATCATAGATGTAGTTTTGTTCCAGAGAAAATTAATTTTACCTCAACGATTTGGAATTTTAGTGGCTAGTAGTAATAGCGTTTGGAAATACAGTGGTAAAAGTACAATGAGGTCAGAGAATACTGCCAAAACGGTGATAATACATACTCTTATTTGGCCTATTGTTGATGGCAACAATAGTCAACCACCTGCTCTTTTCTCGAATCTTTCATCTTTTCACAATCTTTACTCACCTGCCCTTTTCTTGGCTTACCCCAATTGTACTTTTCTCTTGACTCCTTGACTTGCTCTTCCCTGAATTCCTTCATCAGTTCTTCATTTGCCAAACTCATAGCTGCTACTATCTCTAGCTTCTTTTTCCTGTTCTTGACTTCCTCTTCACTGTCTCAACTTCGATAATCTGCTCTGCTATACTACTTCTTTCACATTTCCTTACTGCTGATTCGCTGATGTATGTATTTTGTTGATACAGAGAGTAAATGTTTAATGCTCTTTAGCAAAGAAGATACTCATGTTTCGGAGGTGACATACTGCTTTACCCGTGTAAAGTAGATGTAAACCCTAACTGGAAGACATTTAGTTTGCCAAAACCCTGTGCTTCATAAACAGTTGCATTTGCAAGACAGGAAGTGAAGTAAAATTTCCCCAATATGGCAGAGAAAACAGAAAACACCTAACAGGGTTTTATCTTTCCCTACTCTATTCAAGGGCTACAAAGAAAACTAAAAGCTGTACATACTGATCGATGCACTTTAACCTTCTAAAAATAAAATCTTGTTACCTGGCTATTATACCCAGAATAAGAATGCAGTTCGGGATTGTCATAACTACCTATATGCACACATGTTCTGGATGGGTGACAAAGTATTGAAGCAGTATGTTCAGAATGATGTTAGATAGAAAAAAACTGCGCTAGGAACCAAATAACACTCTAAGAGCAGCTGTGCTTAATAGGTGTGTACACCCAAAATAGGAAAAAAGAAAATAGCACTGCGCTTCAAACTCAAAAATTATATTCCTAAAATGTGAAAAAAATTGTATAAAATGTGAAATTGTCACAAGGTGATACACAATTTTGTGTCATACACAACACCTGTGTTGCACAATGCCTGTGCTGATGATAGTAAGAAAAACTCTAGGTCTAATTGTCTAGACACTATAAACCATATTAAACATGGGAAAAAAATGTGCTAGTACATCTCATAAAATGTGTACATATAGAAAAACCTGTTAAATCTCACAAGTGATGTACAACTCCCACTTAATCTACATAACCACATGTGAAGTCCATTACTTCTGGATACAATAAAGTCTTTGAAATATGTGAGGGTATATCTTCCTGCTTTTATAATCAACACCAACGTCTGTGAATGCAAAAACAATTAGTGAACCAGTGCTCTCCAGTCTCCACCGTGCTCAAAGATAAGATCTGGCCGCACTCACCGACTCCTATTGCTCACCATATTTCAGATGAACAATTAGCGCTTTGTTGATATATAGAACCAAATCCTCTCCTTTGTTTTTACTCCCTCTGTAAACATTATGCATTATGAATTTATCAAAACTGGATTGCAATGCTAGAGACAGGAGCTCCAGTGGACACAATCCATGTGCAATTACCTTATTTTAATTGTAAGTGCATTTTAATCGTTTTAAATAAATTTATTCTGACATAGTACACTATGGGAAGCCTTTTTTTCTCTCTCTGAGCGCAAGAGAAGGTGGAAGATGGAGGAATAGTTTTACACGATTTTGGAAAGATAAGCCAGAGTTGGGAGGAATCTACCCCAATTTATTGTCGGATTAAAAACAAAGGAGAGGATTTGGTTCTATATATATAGCAACAAAGCGCTAATTGTTCATCTGAAATATGGTGAGCAATAGGAGTAAAAATTGTTTATCACCTCGTGACAATTTCACATTTTTATACTATTTTTTTCACATTTTAGGAATATAATTTTTGAGTTTGAAGCGCACTGCTATTTTCTTTTTTCCATGTTCAGAATGATGCCAGGCAGCTAATATTTGCAGACTGAGGAGCCATTAATTGCATTTCCATATTTTTTCTCAGGAATTGTTTCCTTGAATGTCTGTCTGGATCTGTAGGAACAATTATGGGCAACTTCCTGTTGATAAGTTTAATCCTGCAGCCCTCTTCTATGTTTATAGCTTATAATGTTCTTTGTTTTTTTGAATTTTTTATTTTTTATTTAGGTTGGATGGCAAACCACAAAAGAATATTACACATGGATTTCACTATCAAGTAGTGTGGAGAACGAGGTTCTATTCAAAGGTCAGAATCTTTTATTTTCTTACACATTAGTTAACATTGATAAAAGGAATAATTTCTTCCCATGATAACATTTTGAAATAGATAATTTCACAGCTACACAGAGGCAAGTGTACTTTATACGTTACAATCACAATTCATGTTTCCTCAGATTAAGGTTTGCTAGTGTAGCTTCTTTTTATTGGTATTTCCTTTTAGTGAGATTCCAACCCCCCCACCCCCCTCCACTTCTATCCCCTGCTCATTGAGAAGAGAAAAGAGAAGTAAGGGTAATTTGAACCATACACATATTCAAATTTTAGTGCTGACTTGACCAAAATTTGAGCGGTGTGTGTGGGCCACTTGCTCACCCCCCCCCCCCCCCCCCTTTTCCAAGAAATGTTCGACTGAAGAGTGGCAGCAGCCAGTCAGGTAGTCTGACAGCGCTGCTATCAGAATACAATAGCCTAGTGGGATTCCCCCATCTACACTGTTTGGTGTGGATGGGGGGGATTAGTTTATGTAATTAAGTCCCCGGGGCTGAATCAGAACATTACTTGTATATGTCCAGCTTAAATCTTTCATTCTGTTTGCTACTTCTCAGGTAGCATTCGGCTATTCACTCTCTGCTGTTCGGTCCCTGTGAGAATAGGGGCGAACAGCAGAGACCGAACTGACGAACGTTGGCCTTAGCTGATCCAGATGTTGTATCTGCTGAGGCAAACGTGTTCTTCTGCTGAGCTGAAGCCAGCCGATGTACGGCTGAAAACTGCCATACACAGCCGAAGTGAATGGCCGAATGGGGTTCGGCTCCCTTCACTTCGGCTCGGTTGTTGACTCGGCTGTCTTCGGCAGCGTAGTGAATAACTCCTAGTATTTGGAGTTACGCTCTTACAAGTGGGAAAGCTGTTTCATAGATATTCAAAACTACAGGTGAAGAGGAAAATAAACCATCAGAAAAGAAACCATCAGATGTATGCAGTAGTTTTTTTTAAAATCTTGTATTCCTTTCAATTTTGTATAAAGTAACTGAACCATCATTAATAGTATCCATGTTAAAGCCCAAATAGTAACATGAGTACTTTTTTCCTCAGCCTATTATCTGCCAAAAGATGATGAATACTATCAATTCTGCTATGTGGACCAGAATGGAGAAGTTCGGGGAGTCAGCACCCCTTTCCAGTTCAAAGAGGATGATAATGAAATTGTGATAGTGACAACACAGGTCTGTTTTCAACCTTTACAGTTTATATAAAAGCCAAATAGAGCTCCAGAATCAGCAAGTCAAATGCAGTATGAATTCAGGTGCTTCTTAGTTGTGTTGATATGCTTTTGAGTTGCTCAAAGAATTGCTTTGATCTGCAGTGAGTTGCTTTTGCATGCACATTGACCTGTATGGGGAAGAAAAGCAGCTCAGGTCATAACAAATACTTGTGTACATAAACTCTTAACATGTATGAGAAGCATCAGACTTAGCGATCATTTCAAAATAGATTAGCAGTTTTCTTAGAGACATTTAGGCTCCTTTGAGCAGTCCACTTGGAGTTGTAAGTAGAGACCTTAAAAGAAAGCTGTCTGTAGCTTCAGAGAAGCTTTAGCAAGCTTAGTAAGCCATAGTAGCTTGCAAAATACTTTCTAAAAGCTTGTTTAAAGCTGTAGCTATTAACTGCTTGAGTCCAAAATGCCCTTTTAAAATGGTGCTGGTACAGTTGCTGTTTATCCAAGGGCAGTTTTAGGACCTTTGTTGATAGGGGTTGGTTCCCTTGGAGTTTTACATTCCCTTACCAGTCTTTGGAAATGTAAAACCCACTTGAACAAATTCAAATGCAGGTCAACTGTAGATCAAATGCCGCTGAAAATGAATTCTGAATGATCTCAGAAGCATCTCAAACTGATGTCAAAGAGATGCAATCAATACAAGCTCACAGCCTGTAAACACAGGCCCTTAAAATGGCACCAAAACACAACGGGCAGGTCTAGCATGGAAACACCACTGGCTGTCAGTGACAGCCATGGTCCTGCACAAAGCTCAGGAGCTAAATCCATCAGCTTCTAGGCTTTCCATGCTGACTAAGAGCACTCCATAAGAGCATTTGTAGCAGAGCACTGGAAACACAATTGGGGGATTTTATCCAAACTGGAGCAGTCAAAATCTGAAGCAGCTGTGCATGGCAGCCAATCAGCATCCACCTTTCATTTTCAAACCTTAAATTAATAAACTGAAAAAGAGAAGCTGGTTGGTTGCCGTAGGCAACTGCTCCAGATTCTTCTGCTCCAGTTTTGATAAATTCATAATGCATAATGTTTACAGAGGGAGTGATGTGATGTCATCTTTGATGTCATGGCACTTCCTGTCAGTTCAAAGGCCAGAAGTCTCGCTGTAGTTTGATAGTTGAAATCACCAGCTATATTTATTTTTGTTGGACTGTACACTGAAACCGAAACTGGAAATATAAAACAAAAAGCATGTTCCCTATATTAGCAGATTCATGCAGGTGTTTTCTACAAAAGAAATGGCACGGTGCATGGCAGAACATGTTCAAAATGGCATCACTATTCAGTTGTGCCTTTGGCAGCATAATTTCTCAATATGGCCCTGCTTATTGTAATATTCACTGAATATCCACCATGTATGTCTCTTACAGAGTAATGTACGCTGCTATCCTGATCTATTTCTGTGTATTTTAAATCTAGGAGGAAATGGAAAACATAACCGAGGAGAACACAAGGCTTAAGGTACAGCTAAAGAGAAAATGTCAGGTCTTAAACTGATCCTATTTTGGATAAAGTAGTGAAGGGTTAAAGCCCCCCTATCGGTTTGTTGTTTTATTTTCTGTGTTCCGTAGGGGAGATTTCTCTTCACTTTCCTCCACCAGGGCAACTCAAAAAAAATTAAAAAAGTAAACCGATCACAAAACTGAAAAATCAAATGGAATATGATAAAAAAAAATGCATAAGCAGGGGTTACTTTCAGTGAAATCCATGTGTCAAAATGATTGGTAGATCCAGAGATATAGGCATACATATAGGCTAATTGCATATGCAATTTCTGGTCCACGGGATCACCATGGAGGCTAAAGAAATGGGGGAGGAGGCTAAGACAAATTTAACATTTATAGGAAAAGTTGAGTAGACATGTAAGCCGGAAATTTTTTTTAGTTGGGGTCGTTTCAGATTTTTCGTTATTTGATTTTTCAGGATTCGGGTCAATTCATTTTAGGATTTGGATTCAGACGGATCCAAAATTTTCATTAATTTTGGATGAGTGAATATTTATGAACACATTTTTCGTTGCAGCAACGTGATCAAAAAAAAGTGACATTTTTCTTTTTAACTATTGATAGTCCACAGAAACAACAATAATAATAATAAAAAAAAGCATGTGAAGGATTAGGCTGAACCTTTGGCTATTCCTTTGGCTCGCTTCAGCTACAGGAACCCTTAAGTTCAGCCAAACCAAAGGGCTGCTGTACGGGCTATTCACAATAGCCTATACATCAGCCGAAAGCAGCCGAAGCACTCAACCGAGCCGAAGCATATGCGTGGGGTCCCCCCTCCCAAACCATACCAGACCCTTTAGGTCTGGTAGGAATGTTCGGAGGGACCCCCGAGTTAAAAAAAAAATACTAAATTACGTGTGGTTCCCCCCAAAAGTCATACAGCAACTGGAAATATAAAACAAAAAGCATGTTCCCTATATTAGCAGATTCATGCAGGTGTTTTCTACAAAAGAAATTGCACGGTGCATGGCAGAACATGTTCAAGATGGCATCATTATTTAGTTGTGCCTTTGGCAGCATCATTTCTAAATATGGCCCTGCTTATTGTAATATTCACTGAATATCCAGCTTGTATGTCTCTTACAGAGTAATGTACGCTGCTATCCTGATCTATTTCTGTGTATTTTAAATCTAGGAGGGAATGGAAAACATAACCGAGGAGAACACAAAGCTTAAGGTACAGCTAAAAAGAAAATGTCAGATCTTAAATTGATCCTGTTTTGGATAAAGTAGTAAAGCGTTAAAGCCCCCCCTATCGGTTTGTTGTTTTATTTTCTGTGTTCCGTAGGACCCTCAACATGGGGAGGGTGCTTTGCCAGGGAGCAAGGGAGGACCCCCTGGCAAAGTGCCTTGTCCCTATGTTGATGAGGACAAGGGTCTCTTCCCCACAACCTTGGCCTTGTGGTTGTGGGGGTCTTCGGGAAGGGGGGGCTAATAAGAGTTGTTATTATGAAGGTTCTGCTCCTGAATGTCAAACAAAAGGGCAGAACAAGTCCCATGACGTCACGACTCATGCTGCCCCTTTGTTGACATTCAGGTCAGACCTGTCATTTTGCAGCGAGAGTTCGTCGGGTTCGATTGTGTCAGCGGGCGTCGGGTATTTATTCTTCTGGAGAGTCGGCGGCCGTCGTGATTGACATCTAAAGGGTCTGGTATGAATTGGGAGGGGACTCCACGCTGTTTTAAATTTTTTTTTAACAATTAACATAAATTCATTCTAAATGACATTTTCGTTATCGGAAAATTCGGATGCATTCAGATTCGTTATTTCTTTAATTCGGAAATTCAGATGCATCAGAATGTCTGAATTTGCCAATATTCGTCCGAATTTCAATTCGGAGCAAAACGAATCGCAAATGTCTAAAGTTGAAAGTTGCATATAATTCCAGCTGTATATCATCTGAGAATTGTATATACTTTTCAGTTGTCTACTATGCTGATGTGCACTTTTGCTAAAGGTAACCTCTGCTTATGTGGTTATTCATCATATATTCAGTTTGTCTTTCCCATGGTTATGATAGTTCTGCTTTTAAGGATAAATCCATATTTAAATTTAAAAATGTATTTTTACATTTTCTTTATTGCCCATTGAGGGACACAGGAGTTCAGGAATTCTGTCAGGTTATACTGCCACCTTCAGTAGGTTTGGACACGGGCAAACAGAAAAAAGGTGTCCAGTCCCTGTATAACTCTGACTTTACCGTCATTACTTAATTTTTGCTAGTGTCTCAGGAGGTTGGACGCTTTTTCCTCAGCTCTGCAGGAAAGAAGTCTAAATATATTTTTGGTAAACTTTTTTAATATTATTTCAGTTTTAATTTTTCTTTACTCAAGATACTTGATATATCATAGATATTTTTTAGGTGACTTCAAAGAAGACTTTAAAAATGATGCTTGAGCAGCTCACTGCTATCCCGATTAGCTTATTGGATTGTTGGATTGCCAGCAGCATTTGAGGCTTTACCCAGAACCCTGTGAAATAGAAAATTGCAGGGCTAGCCTGGAATGTGACTTTCAGCCACTGGGCTCTGTATTGTGGAGCTTTGCAAACCATGGTATAGCCTCTGGTGTAACTCTGTCTGCAAAGCCTACATTCTGGGGACAGAACTGTGTACACTTGGGTGTGCTTTATTTTCTGTATGGCAAAAAGAAACCATTGCTACATGGTGCAGTGTTTCCTCGGATTGTCAGCAGACAGATCAAGCTGCAACCCTGATGCATCCCCCGTGAGAGAGAGCATGTGTCTGTGGGTCTTCGTGGAATAGAATTATTTGGAGTCAGGACCTTCTTCTGTAGCTGATTTGAAGCCTCTATGGGAAGTTCCTAAAATTATCTTTCCTTTTCCTTTCCTTAATCAGTTGATCATTGTTAGTTCCTAGATTAAGGTCCCTGTGCCTTTCTCCACAGCTGTGGACAATTCACTGGATCAGAGTGAGCTAGAGGTCCTATAGTCCCATGTCCTGGATCAGACAGACCCTGAATGGGATTTTCCCAGTCAGGTTCTAGTGACACCGCCAGGTGTCCTTGTGTACAGGTCTATTCATCCTACTGTTTTTTTCTAGTATTTCCAGTATGGTGGTTATCTTCCTGTCTTCTTTGTGGGGGTACTTCTTGCACATTTTCCCCTAGTTTGTCAGTCTCTCTGCCTTACGCTAGTTCCCTTTGGGGTTGTCTCCAACTCCTAAGAAACTTGACTGGCCCTCTTGGGGTATTATGCTAGATAGTTCTCTATCTGTATTTACTCATACAAGATTGGATGGCTGTCCTAGACACCCCTACTACTTTCTTGAACCTTTCTTCAGTCATGCCTAAGGTCAATTGCCTCTAACGTCTGCTCTTGCAGGCTCAGTGTCTTTCCAGGTAGTCATTCCCTTGGCAGAATCCTTATCCATCTGTTTCAAAATTACTGATTTTCTGTGTCCCTCAAAAGATAAGTAAAAAAGATTTTTGTACTTACCGTCATTTTTTTCTTCTTGAACTCCATTGAGGGACGTAGGCCTTGCCCCTCTGCTTATTGGCCTTAGGTACTGTTTTCTCACACAACTGAGGCATGACACTTATACGGGGGCTGGCCTGCAATAATTTTTTTGTACAAAAATCCTATTTTCATGCTTTTGCTTCTATTACACTGATACAAATTACTAGGGATGTCCCGATGCCACTTTTTCAGGCCCAAGTACAAGTACAAGTACAAGTACATCCCATCATGTACTTGCCGATACCAATTACCGATACTTTTTCTTAAAGGGACAGGTGACTTTAAATGATCCATAGTACAACTATGTGGTCCTGGCAGCAGTACTGCTAAATAACAAGGCATGTACATGGACAACAAATTTATAATAATCCTCTATTTGTTTTCTTGAAGAAACAAAATCACCACCCCAGCCGTGGTTTTCGGGGTCCCTGCTCTTCTGGGGGACTTGGGATAACGGCAAAATAAATCAGGATGGAGAGAGGTGAGCAGAGCGGAGAACGTCTGTTCTCCGCTCTGCTTCATATAAACACTAACACGGGAGAGCTGCACTCGCAGCCTTCCCATCTCAGCTGTCACAGGAGAGCCAGCACAGTACTGTGCTCAGACTCCTGTATTGGAGGTGACAGGTTTAATTAAGAGAACCTGTCACTTCCAAATGCTATCACACAGGGGCTTGTTAGCTTGTTAGAGGTCCTATTAATTGCAATAGCAGCACTCCAAAATGCATGATTGTTAATGATGCATGTCAAAACACATGTAAGTGCACACAGAAAGGTGTGAGTTCATCCTTAGTCTTCATTTTCCCCTAGTTTTTATAAATAAGTTCAATGTTTTGGCAGCAGTACTGCTAAATAATGATGCATGTTCATAGACAACATTTGTATGTATAATCCCCTTTTGTTTTTCTGAAGAAAAAAAACCAGGATCAGGCTGAGATGATCCAGACCCTACAGGCTCAGTTACACACTGCTACAGAGAAGAACAACACACTGGAGAAGGAAAATATGGTAACTGTGTACTGCATATCCCATCCATTTACTGTATAACACATGTATAAAATGTATACACTGAATTCCAAAGGAGTAAACATGGATATAATATGAATAATTAAAAAACATTCCTGACCTACATCTCATATATCACTGGCATAAATTGAGAGCAGAACCAGGGCCGGATTTCCCACGGGGCGGAAGGGGTGTGGCATTCCTATTGCCCGAGGCACGGGACACACAGTTCGGGTGTCGGGCGGGTAGTTTTCTTCTACATTTAGCTCTGCTTCGGGCAAGCAGGGCTAAATGTAGAGCGGGGAAGCGGCAGCTTGAATTTGTACAAGTGATCTCGGCATTAGCCTACTCGTCCGTCCTCCCCTGGCGCCCCCCATTCCATAGTCCACCCCCGCCGTGGTTTTCAGGTCCCCGCTCTTCTGGGGGACTTGGGATAACGGCAAGGTAATTCAGGATGGAGAGCGGTGAGCAGAGCGGAGAACATCTGTTCTCCGCTCTGCTCCATGTAAACACTAAGACGGGAGAGCTGCACTTGCAGCCTTCCCATCTCAGCTGTCACAAAGTACTGTGCTCAGACTCCTGTATTGGAAGTGACAGGTTTAATTGAGAGAACCTGTCACTTCCAAATGCTATCACACAGAGGCTTGTTAACTTGTTAGAGGTCCTATTGATTGCAAAAGCAGTGCTCCAAAATGCATGATTGTTAATGATGCATGTCAAAACACATGTAAGTGCACACAGAAAGGTGTGAGTTCATCCTTAGTCTTCATTTTCCCCTAGTTTTTATAAATAAGTCCAACAATGTTTTGGCAGCAGTACTGCTAAATAATGATGCATGTTCATAGACAACATTTTTATGTATAATCCCTTTTGTTTTTCTGAAGAAAAAAAAACAGGATCAGGCTGAGATGATCCAGACCCTACAGGCTCAGTTACACACTGCTACAGACAAGAACAACACACTGGAGAAGGAAAATATGGTAACTAAGTACTGCATATCCCATCCTTATATAGCAGATGTATAAAAAGTATACAGTGAATTTTAAAAGAGTAAACATAAATAATATGAACAAACCAAAAACATTCTTGACCTACGTCTATATACTGTATCAATGGCATAAACTGGGGTCAGAACAAGCAATCTCCCTCCTACAGCTGACTTATCTCCTAATTACAAGCTTACGGTAGTCTTTTTTATATCTCTCTGCATGTTTTTGACTATTTATAGTAACTTGAAAAAAAAAACTATAATGATTTTGTAATTTTTTTTTTATTTTTAGACTGGTGATGCATATTAATTCCTTTTACTAGTCAAATAGAAACCTTAATTTTACAAATAATTCTTATATGCAAAAATTAAAAAAGGGCTTTAAGGAGAGTCTGTAAAATGTGTAAAGGAATGCAATATGTGTTGGTTAAAATTGATAATACAAAGTATTCAAAAGCAATATTTCTTTTTAACCTATGTAACCTGAATATATTTAGAAAATTTAGTATTTTTAGCCATCACAAGTAAAAAAAACTGTGCAAAACCATTATACTGTCCCTTATAAGACTTATCAGTGTTTGATAAGTTAAGTAGATGTTAAAATGGGTAGAGTTTGCCTGGGGTGCGTAAGGCAGGGCTAAGGTGAACTGTGGGAGCTGTTGATACCTCCAGAAGCCCAAGGAGGATGAGCATCAAGTGTCCCAGAGGTCCTAAAAAGGGTTTGTAATGCAGTCTATTTGGGCCTTAAATGAAATAATCAATTAATAGTGTAGCGCTAAAAGGCTTTAAAGTGTGTAACACCAAAATATGTGTAAATTGAAATATATCTTTATAAATTGTGTCAATCAATCAGTGTGCTAAAACACATGAATTCAAATATATAACTGTATAGTAACTTTGCGAGTGAAACAAAAATGGGCAGGGATTAATTAAAGAAATGCTTCTATCAGTGAAAAAATTCGAAAATTTAAAACAGCACTACACCGCTGATTATTAAGACATAGCAGCTTCTGGCTTTGTTCGATTTTCTTTTCTTTTCTTTTTTTCGATTTGGATCCAGAAGCACAGTAAGTATTTTTTCCCCATAGTTCTCTTAAGGGTAACGGGAGGACATATACTAGCGCCCTCCGGTGACCCAAAGCTCAGTATATTGCGAGCTACAGCTCACGGTATACTAAGACCGCCACAGCCGGGACGGATCCCAGCAATGCTGTCGAGATCCACCCAGCTGCGTGAATGACAGCTGGCTCTGCCTATCTAGGGGCAGAGCCACTGTACCCGCCCCCTCCCCTGTCCGTTCCTTCAGTCAGCGCTGAAGGATCGGAGTGGGGAGGGGGGTCCCTGCAGGGAGCCGTGAGTGACAGTCACGGCTCTCTGCAGGGAGATGATCGAGAAGTGAGTGAGCGACGGTATGTATTCGCTCACTTCCCGATCTATTGAGCCGGCGTTTGACAGTTTCATTGCCACAAGTCGGCTCGAACTATGAGGATGAGAGATTTTCACTCACCTCATAGTTATCCATTAAGCCTCCAATAAATTGTTTGCACATAGAGTCCCATAGCCTCAGAGTATACCATTGAGCAGGTGTCTTTTAGCTAAATATCTGTATTTCATTAGTATCAAGTTCACAAGATCTAACAGTGCTGCTCATGGACACATTTCCAAGGTTACCCCACTTTTGTGCAAGAATTGATATACCCAACCTACAATAAGTGTCAGGATTGTAGTCTGATACTATTTTTTTTTAATTGGGCAACAAAAAATCCACATTCTCATTTAGATTAGGTTAATAATGCATAAAAAAGATGGGGCCATAGGTGTCCTCAGGCAAATTTAGCAACCATGTTTTATAGTGTGTATACGGGGTAATTGTATAGGGAGCATTAGAAATTTGTATATGTATGATTCTTGGCAGGATCATGGATTGGGCAGGGATCCTGGTAGGGATTATGACATTCCATTTGTCTATCCAAGAAAACAAGTGGGAAGAAAAGTGGTTTAGTTCTCATTTAATTGAGTTAAGAAGGGGAATACAGTTTTGTTGGTAAAGGTCGGCCAGGGACAAAGTCAGGTTAATTCCCAGATTTTTAAGACTTCTGGTTTCCTGTACAAATGGGAAAGATGGTCTAAGAGTTTGTTTGTCCCAGAGGGCTTTTATTTTTATTATTTCTGACTTAGATAGGTTAATCTTAAGATTAGATAGATCCCCATTTTGTTTAAAATGTAGATAAAATGACTGGTAAGGTAAGTCTTGGGTTGTTCATGTAGAATAGAATATCATCAGCATACACTGCTACTTTCTGTTCCTTGTTGGCCATTTTAACCCCTAGAATGTCTGGGTATAAGTGGATTGTGGCTCCTGGAACAACACAAATAATAGAGGTGATAGTTGATAAAAGAGTTGAATAAGATAGTACAGTGACCTATTGATGCTGAACCTGGCTGTCATGTGTGAAGTGAGAGGATAGTCAAGAGTAGAACATCCTAATCCTAATTTTGAACCCATTCCCAAATGTTGAAGAGTGACCAACATGAATTTCCAGTCTACCCTGTCAAACCGCATCTGTATACTGAAGTAGAACTGGTGACCTGTGATGTTTGGCCATGTGGATCAAGGAGAGGGTTCTCAGGGCATTGTATGCTATAAATGAGTGGCAGAAAAGTGTCAGCATTCCTCATTCCAACATATTTGTTCCAGGTGAGATATTTAGAAAGCATCAAAGCCAAAGTATCTGCATGACAGCCAGGAAACTAGCATTCTAAAAGGAGAGGTTAGCAGTCCTCATACTTTTCTTAAGATAGAATTGCTTTAAGTGAATGTTATAAAGCTACACGTTATCAGTATCTAAACTGAAGCAATGTATTTGTCTAATTAATCAGGAGTTGCAAGTCCAAGTGAAAAACCTTAAAGAGGAAATAGAAACAATGAAGAGGGACAATCTAGAAATAAAGCTACAACAGTATGTATACATAAATTATGGTTCTTTGCTTGTATTGCATACTACTGAATACTGTTTATTTAGAGCTTGTATAGACTATGCATATACATACAATTGCTCAATGCCACATATAGATAAATAAAAACAGTCTTGTGTTCAATTTACTTGAAGCTCAGTCACTACAGTTTTATGAGGGGATGTCTGGCTACTCTTTTACTATTTACTCTTTGGGGGTCTAAATCTTCTGCCCAGCCATACACTGGGCGAATGCTGCTTGCTCGACAATCTCACTACTGGATGGAGTTGAGGAGCATAGGAATTCCTTTTCATGGTCAGCTACATCTAGTGGCAGGAAGATTTATAAATAGACGCCTTTGTGTCCTGATTAAGAAGATTTTCCATCACTTCCTGTTTGCTCTCTCCGAGACAGGAGGTGAGAAGAAATCTTTAACGGGGGCACAAACAATAAGAAATAGCTGGAAGATGTTCTAACCTCCCCCCAGAATACAAAAATAGTGCTCCATTGGAAAGACTTGACAGAAGCTTAAAGTGTATGTCCATTTTTGCAGCCAAATTTGGATAAACACCTGCTTTACATTTGTTACATGGTCCCATTCACATAACAACTTAAAACTATTTGAAAATGTCTGCTTACATTTTTTCTTGCTCTTTTCTGAGAACACAAACATTTGAAAATCCCCCTCTGTGTGATGTTAAGCATGGGACTGGGTAGTAAATGTTTACCATCATTAACTCTGTGTGTACTGTGCTGGCAGAACTCATTATTAGTTGTAAACTAGATTTGAACTGTCTGTCCTAACTAAAGATTAAACATCCTAAAGCTTAGGTTCTGCATTGTATGTTAATGAGAGGAAAATAGGTCTGTCCCCCTACACATTCACTTTTCCATTTTTTTTAAATTTCGAGCAGGCAAACTGTAAAATATTTGGCCACAATGCAAACTACTCTGAACAATATCAAAGAAATAATCTTTCACTATGCTAGAATGCCATCTGGTTTGCAAGGATCCCCGCCACATTACAGTGAGCCATGGACAAAGACCTGAAACCCCATAAGGAATGTTCAGGGACTTGCCTAGATGACATTGTCATCTTTAGCTCGGACTAGAAAAGTAATCTAAAAAAAGTCCAGTTAGTTCTGGATGCCCTACAGAAGGAAAGATTCACAGCAAACCCTGAGAAAACCACAATTGGAATGGAGGAGGCACGCTGTTTGGGATATGTGGTAGGCACAGGCATCTTCAATCTCCAGTTGAATAAGGTGGAAGCCATTCAAAATTGGCCCTGTCCCCTCACAAAAAACACAGGTAAGGACAAAAAACAGGATTGGAGGATATTATAGGAGATTTATTCCCAACTTTGTCAGTAGGGCCGCCCCCTTGACATACTGTATCTCACAAAGGTAAAAACATCCACTGTCATACACTAGAATCCTAAGGCAGAAGCAGCATTCTGCCACTTGAAGCAGGCTTTGTGCCAGGAACTAGTTCTCAGAATCCCAACCCTTCAGAAAGAGTTAGTGGTGCAAAAGAGATGCTTCAGAACTGGGCCCTGGTGCAGCCTTCTCCCACCCATTGGGGCAGAAGAGCACCCTGTTGTGTACTTGAGTCAGAAGTTCACTACAGCTGAAAACAACAATATTTATTTGTAGAAGGGGAATGTCTTGCAACATAGCAGGCATTGGAGGATTGCCTTACAGGATTTCAAATGTACTTTGCCTCTGATCCCCACAACAGGTAAAAGAACAAATATTTTTATAAGACTATACACTAATATAAATATGCATCTTTCTTTTCTTTCTTTCTTTCTTTCTTTCTTTCTTTCTTTCTTTCTTTCTTCAGAATTGGACTGCAGGATTTAGAAACAGAATTGGAGCAAAAGACCATGGATTTGGAAAAAATAGAGGCTAAATATAAAAAGTTGCAGGTGAGTTTCCGACAAGTTTGGAGTTTAGGTTTTGCTTCTAGAAGCTTTCCCTTAAAGTGAACGTAAAGTCCAACAATGAGTTTCTGTTATTTGCTTCCTTTTGATCAGTTAAAAGGTAACAGAAAAAGAGTTTTGTTATATCTGTGTGATAAATGCACAAAAAAATACATGCTGATCCAGCCAGAAATCCAGAGCTGTCCTGTGCACTCTGCAATGTTTTTTTTCAAGCTGGCTTACCAGTCTTGTCTAGCTCTATGAATTACAGAACACTTTCCCCCTATTTTGTGAAGGTGAGACAAGGAGGATGTTCTGTAGTCCTAACACACTTTCTGGTAAGCATTGTCATCCTTGGGTACTGGCAGGAACAGCAAGAAAAAACCGAGGGGTCAATTCACAAAGCTAGCCAAAGAATCAGCCGAAGCTTCGGCTGATCCTTCGGCTAGCTTTGGTTGCAGGAACCCTTTGGTTCAATCGAACTGAAGGGCTGCTGTACGCGCTATTCACTATAGCCTGTACAGCTCCCGAAGGCAGCCGAGTGGCTCAGCCAAGCCGAAGGCATATGCTTTGGCTCGACTGAGCCGAAGTGGGGTCGGCCGTACGCCTCACGAATGATAGTTGGGCAGAGCCAGCCATGATCTCACGGCTGGTTCCGCCCAATTGTAATGACAGATCAGCGTCCCCAAATGACTTCGGGACGCTGATCTGTCATTAAACAATAACTGGGCGGACATCACGGCCGGCTCTGCCCAGTTGTTATTCATTGGCCGGGACCTGCTAGAAGACTTTAGCAGGTGGCGGCCAAAAGAAAACCGTTGGGCAGAGCTACCTGTCACTGCTAGCTCTGCCCAATTTTATTATTATTATTTTTTTTAAATCTATTTTTTCCAACTGTTTTCACTATTGGCTATTCTGCTTGGTACTACGGAGGTACTGAGCAGAATGACACTTGGCAGCATTCGGCTATTCACTCACTGCTGTTCGGACCCTATGTGAATACAAGCGAACAGCAGCGAGTGAACTGCTTCGACTCAGCTGATCCAGATGTTGGATCGTTGACTCGAAGTCCTTCTGCACCGAAGTTCAGCCTATGTACGGCTGAAATCAGCCGTACTGAGGCGGAGTCAATAGCCGAACGTTGTTGGTGCATTTTAATTGCATGAAAATGGAGGTGCATTTTAATTGCATGAAAATGATCATCTTCATATTTTGAATGCATGAACAAAATTAATTCCATGCGTGTTCTTTTTGCATTGTCATTTTTCCTACTACTGCAGAACAGCGGTATACCCCCATCAAAATCAAATAATTTTTCCATTGTCTTGAGGTTTGGCGGAGGATATGGCCATATTTTTAGTTTCTACACTCATGGGCCAGTACCTCAAGTGGTAATTTAGAAGAACAGCACCCCAGGGGTGTGTGAATTAATATAGCACCAATTTTTACTCTAATGCGCCTATGAAATTCTTCTAGAACGTAAAGTGATTACAACTGTACAGCTGCTCATTCTAACAGTTGTAAAGCTGGCCATACACTGTGCAAAATGCGTTTAGTGGGTGGCTCTTTCTGCACCCTTCCATCTGCCATCCTTCAAATCAGAAAATCGAGGAGCCAGTTGGACATTTTCAGGCGAACTGTTCGGGTATTCTGATATTGGCACACCCACCGCTGCCAGCATACAATAGCCCAGCCGGAGATTCGTCCATCCACACTATTTAAGCGTATCTAAACCCCCAAGAAATGTAATATATTGAAGCTTGCTTAGATGAGATGGCTGCAATAGTTTTCTTTTTTTTTTCTTCTTTTCATTTGGTGATCCAGCCAGGAGATCTGTTATTTTTCAACTTCCTTTACAGACCAAGCTGTCCACCAAAAGTGGCAGATAGAGGGTTGAGGCAAACCATTTAACACTGATGGGGGTGCTTACAATGCTTTAATGCATTTATGTACCTTTATGCCAAAAGGAAAAATATAACCTGTTGCTGTAACTGCTTCAAAAGTGTTCGCTGGAGTTCAGTTTTAATTTGTTAGTCAAGTCCATCTAAATCTGCTAGCTCATCTAGCACTACCCTCTCCACAGCATGACAATGCTGCTGTCCCAGGGTGGCTCCATTGCTCTTTCATCGAGTGAAGCAATCCTAAGACGGGAAGGGTCGGATCATCAGGTGAAAATAAAGGAAAAAAGCCTAAAAAAAGGAAAACTAATGCAGCCACCCCATCTAAGGATTATTAATCTGTAATATATTGCATTTGTGGTTTTGGGTTTAGATACACTTTAAGAATGGTTGAAGGAATCTGTTATTTTTTATCGTTCAGTCCGCAGGTTGAACAAAAAAATATAACAATGTGTAGCCAGCTTAAGAGTGGTGGTTTTACTCTGTGTTAAAGTGGAATTCTGGGCAAATGGCTAAATATACAGATGATATACATATATGGGGAGCTATTTAACCTGCTAGTGTTTATATTTCTATCCATCCAGTTTTCAGATTTACACAGCTCTTCCAGACAGCACAACCCTGTCTGGCAGGGCAGGAGACCTCACTTTTCTATGCTGTAGGTCAATATCACTAACAGGTCTTGTCTCTCCCCCGGTCTGTGGAAGGAGGAGAAGCAGACTGATGAGCTCATCTCTCTGCCACTTTGCTTTCTTATCCTATAAGCATGTCCCTTGTTATCACAGGAGCTCTGCAGCACAGCTGATTGGCTCCTTGCACTTGCTCTTCCAATCTGAGCTCTGCTGTACAGGGGACTGCAAAGTTGAGCAAACTCCAATTGTAGAACATGGATGATGACTCACAGTTATTCAGCGTTTCTAAGTACATATTTTTCTGCTAGACCACACCCTAGGCAGGACCAGGGCTGGATTTCCCACAAGGCCACAAGGGGCAGCAGGGAGTAGAGGGGCAGCAGGGGTGTGGAATTCCTATCTCCTGATGCCCGGGCGAGTAGTTATTTTCTACATTTAGCCTTGCTTTGGGTAAGGAGAGCTAAATGTACAGCTTGTTTTGTACAAGTGATCTTGGCGACACTGTATGCAGCCTGCAGGTCTGCCATTCTCCATGGGGGAGGACCATTGCTTTGTAGCACCTATTAGGGATATAACGGGATGCTTACTATTTTACATGATAGCCCCTCATCTGCCTCCTAATTGTAAGTAAATACAATTCTGGATACAGAATTTAAATCCCTGCAATATTTAAAATTATATTAGTATTCAGGGTGTTTTTGGGGGAGGGGGGTATATGGTTGAGGCAGTAAGCTTGGAATAAAATCAGAAGTAGTGTGACAGCATTTCAGATGCATATTGTAGGAGTGTTTGAGACCTTGAAGCTAACTGTAGTCTACAAGTATAATCTGACCATAGATCATTCCCATTCTACCAATCATCCCATTAACACACATGGTTGGATTGCCAAGTTTTCGTCTTATTGCTATTGTGTAGGGATGATGATGTCCCCAGGGAGGAAAACATTAGCAGTCTGGTGGAGACAAGTCCAACCTAGCTAAATTTCTGAGGATATTATCGGATCATATTGGGCTAACAATTATCTTGTAGTTTCTGAATTAATACTCAGGGCTCTTGAAATAGAAAGGGATAAAAACAAAGGTAGGACAATACAGCAGGTTAGATTGCAGTATGATGAGAAGTTCCAGTTGTGAAAACAGTCAATAACTTCCCCTTTTTGGTTACAGAGTGAGAATGAAGCCAAGAACCAAGCAATAGTGAACCTCACTGGTCTATTAAAAAGCTGTAAAGAAGAAGTCGCCCAACAGAAACAAAAGTTTGAGGTTTGTATGCAAACTACTGTGGTTAAGTCATTGGGGAGCTCTGGATGGTTAAAATATGAATGGCAAAGTGAGTTTTTTAAGGTGGAATTATTATTATTGTTACTGTGACTCTCCACTTAATAAAATGTACCTGAAAAGAAGAAAGCAAATACTTGCCTCTCCTACTGCTTGAATGTCATGAGGAATCCATGTGTAGCTGAGTCAAACTCTACTGGCTGAAGGTTTGCGTTTGTTGGCTCATTTCTACTCATCCTTGGACAAGAGGACTACTCATCACAGTAGTGACGTGGTGGACAGGGAGGAATCATTGAGCGCTGTGTGGGGCTAGAAGATTGACACTCCCAGATGCGGCAGTTTCTGAAGAGGGGGTGATTCCTTTTAATCAGAGTGACATTTAGTGATGTAGGCAGTGGGAGAGGTAAGGATATACCTTCTTCTTTGCAGTTATGTCTTTAATTCCAACTTTTATTTTTTAAGTGACCGTCGCTTTAAGTGTTTCTTTTTCACACTGTTCAGCGTAAACTATTATTCTGTTCACAGGTTTCCTCTTTCCTGTGGTGATAGTATATTAAAGGATATGTCCACTGATATGCTGATCACTGGGTGAATCCTTTTGGTACCTCTTGCAATGTATTACAGAATTTTTCCATCAAATAGGGAATAGGTGGATGATAATTTTGAGAATGATGAGATATTTTGAAAATGATTAAAATTTATAAAAAGGAGAGTTATGTGAATGTGATATGTGCACATAGGCACGTACTCGGGGGTGTGCTGGGTGTGTGTGAGCACACCCTAATCACTCAGAGCACAACACCGAAACCGCAACAGCGAGCAACATGTTTTTAGTCATTGAGCTGGTGGAGAGATCAGAAAGATCTCTCTGTGACCCGCTCAGCGAAACAGAGTGCAGCAGCACTTGCCACTTACATTCCACTAATTAATAGTCACAGTCCTCAATGCTTGGGAGACTGCGAGGGAGCGTGGATGCGGCTTCCCAGGCTTCCCATTCAATCAGGAAGCTAGGCGGATGATCACATGACCGCCAGCCAGGCTCCCTGCTTCATTACTGAACCCTGCTGGAAGAGGGACAGTTGAAGAGTTGGAAATCCGGGATGCCTCAGGTCTAATTATGTATGTATGTATGTATTTATGTATGTATGCATGCATGCATGCATGTATGTAATGCAATACTTGCCATGGTTACAAAGAGGAATACTGTAATATCCTGTTTAATGAATCTGGAGTTTTTCTAGCCTTTTCTAGGTACAGCTAATAACCATGATGATTGATTCAGTATATTACAAGTTCAGTTGTTGGGTTAATTCTGTACTTTTATATCCAAGGTGCAAGCAAGTATGTTGGAAAAAGAGAAAAAACTGAAAGAGGAGTTACAGCATTCACTGGAGAATGAGGTAAATAAATCTGTGCACTGATCATCTACCCTCTACACTACAACAACAAAAATGTGCATTAGAATATTTGTTTAAATGAATGTGCCCATATAAATGAATGTGGGCAGCAAGTTAGTCTTTTATACAGTATTAATAAACTTGGAGCTGACAGCTTTTACACACACCAACAACAGCTGCCACCACATGTATAGCAATTCTGATCTTTAAGATCAGTCTGTGACACCCACTGGCCCGCCAGACAGGAATGAAGAATGAGTCACATTAAAGAGATGTGCACGAATATGAATCTACCCTGCACAATGGTCAAAGATGTAAGATTATCTTTGCAGGATTTATTTGATTCCGGTTGCATGAGGCACAGTTGTTTGGTATGTGGGAAACTACAGACACTGCCAACCAAGAGAACATGGGGAAAATAGTAATTGGATAGCTTAGGAAACCCCATCCAGTTCTTTCCCCTAAGATTAGCCATTATTGAAGGTGTCTGCATGTGCCTCTTTTCCCCATAAACATAAATGCCCAAATGAGCCAACATTGATGTTTTATACCTGAAGCAGGACCTAAAGACATCTTCAGATGGTCACATTGTGTCTACCAATCTAACCATTCTCTGATGCTTATAGCAACGCTTACTAGCTTTCTAAGCTGGAAAAGTTGATTTTAAATTTTGACGATTCATATGGTTATTGGATTTAGAAATGTTTTAGGCACCAAAATACCCTTGCTAGCAGGTATGAGATTAATAGAAGTGATTAGTTGCTAGCTTATTATTGGACATCAATGCCGCTGATATTATTTGGATGCCAGCAATTATCTTAACAACAGTATTTGTTATTTGGAATGATACTGTTACATTCTACTGAACAACATATTACTTGTCGTGGCTGCTGTTTTTGATTATGCATTTCATTGTCTTGCATATTAATGGGTACTGCTACTGCACATATATAGTACATTTAATTGGGCAGTACAGCTTCTACTGCACAACATAATTGGGCTTCTTTTGTTTAGATTATTACTGGGCATTTCTACTTCTCCTGTGTGTAACACTGGTTTATAGAGTAGTGTATTTGGAAATGCTCTGGGTGTCATCAGCATAGAGATGGTATTGGAAGCTGTGGGAGGTCAGCTGACCAAGGGAGAATGTGTAGATAGAGAATAGAAGGGGCCAGAGGACAGAGCCCTGGGGGACCCCTACTGAGAGAGGGAGAAGAGAGGAGGTGGTAGAGTTTTAGGTGACAGAGAAAGCGTGCTCAGATAGAGGGGAGGAAAAACATGAAAATGCAGAGTTGGAGGACAAGAGAATAGAGTTTTTTGAGAGAGAGAGAGCGTGTGATTTACTGACAGTCTAGGAGTATGAGTACAGGGTAGTGACCATTGTTTTTAGTAGTTAGTAGGTCGTTAGTGAGTTTTAGGAGGACAGTTTCAGTGGAGTGTTGTAGGTGAAAGCTGGACTGTAGGGAGTCAAGAAGGTTGTTATCAGTTAGGTGGCAGCTCAGACGGTTGTAGACAAGGTTCGAGGGGTTTGGAGGTTAACACGAGTAACGAGATGGGTCTTTGGTTTGAGCATTTAAGAGTGGGGTTGTAGTAGTTTTGAGGGAGCAGGGATTAGGGGCAGGTAGTTAGGTGGGAGTTAGAAGCATTGTGTTTAGTATTGTGTCAACAATGTCAAAATTAGAAAGTATTGAAAGTGGAGGTATATCTGGTGAGGGAGATGTCTGGGCAGTGGAGATCTCATTACGAACTGCATCAATCTTGTTTTTTGAAATGATTGGCAATCCTTTGGGCAGTGAGTGAGTTAGTCGGTGAAGGTAGTGGAGGGCGAAGTAGAGTGTTAAAGGTAGCAAAATGTTGACCAGCACTGGATGAGAATGTATTAATAAGAAGACAAAATAGGTCTATTTGACACTAATGGTCACTATCGATGCTTGGGACCAACATACATAACATATGCCCCTGTGCATGAGCCCTAAAAATAGTAGGGATGAGGATCAGGTTCGCTGCTACCATGGGTTTGTGGCAAATCCCTATCATTTGCAAAGTTCCCAAAATTTTAGCTGGAAAACTATGCAGGTTCACCACCAGATATAAGGAACAACCTAATTTGCGGTGCATAGCCTTTTGCTATAGTTCGCATTTCTGCAGACACTATTATCAAATGCAAGATTCTTATATAGTAAGACATTTCAAGGTTGTAGGGTGCTATATTGAGTGCATAGCCTTTTGCAATGGTCAGTTGACTCGAGCCAATAATTTGAAGAAATGGATAACCCAACCCCCTTTCTATAAAGGGGTGAGCTCAAAGCAGCCATATTGTCAGTGGGTGTTGGAGCAGTAAGGGAGAGCTGACAATTCCATGTAGGAAGATATTTTTTTTTCATTTTGGCATTGGCTTCCTATGCCTTGTATTTGACAATAGCTTGCTTATTAACCCTATAAATGGTCAGAATTGAATAACAAGATATGTCCCCATAGACCTCATTGGGGTTCACCTCAAACTCTGCAAATTTCAAGCAAGATTTGCGAAACTGTTTGCACACTGAACCCAGGCAGATTCAATCACCCCACACAAAATGTAATATCATCTTATCTATTTGAATTGTGGGTCAGCGCGGTAGACACAAGTCCTTGTTTATCAACATGTCTAATACTGTTTAGGATCTGATTTTTAGGAGAAAGATTGAATCAGCTTGTATAGACAGTTCTCATTTTGGACACATAAAAAATGAGTGAGGACAAGTATAATTTGTTCCAATAATGATAGCTGCTAGGAACTGATTGTTAAATTCAAAGTTAACTTGTTGCAATCACTTTCATGACAAGGCTGTTGTGCAGTTGTGCAAAGATCATTTGTAAGGATACTTTATTATGCAAAAATCTTCATATTTATGAAACCTCTCTGTATAAAAATGTACATAGTAGGGCTCATATATAGATGGAGATAATTTGAATTGTCTTATTAAACAAAAATCATAATTTTAGAAAATGAAGGCAATGGACCTGGAGAGCAATTCCAAGAATAATACTACAATACTCAGGACAGCAGAAGACTCTAAAATCAAATTACAACAGCAGCTGGCTTTACAGCAGGTAAGCATTTATGGTTATTTTAATTTACTGTGTATGTTTTTTATATATTGTGGGGAGCTCAAAAAGCAGGTCACATCCTTCTTAGGGATAGATGGATACCATAAAATATAAGTCCACGAGTAGAGCACACTGGCTGAACCTTTGTCAGTCCTGACAAAGTAACTGCCAGAGGTAGGCCTGTGATCACCAACGGCAAGAAATTGTTTGTGGCCCAGGAAACCGCACTACCTAACTTCCTAAAATTACAGGCCCCAGATGTCACCACTGCCTTGTTCCTGAAGGCGGGTTTGAACAAAAAAGTGCCCGGTGACAAGAGGCTGCCACCCCTCAGGCAGCATATATGAGATCTTTCAGGATGAAAGCTTGAATGGATTACAACAGTGACATTTCTGTCTTTACCGTGTCACCATGATTCCTGGATAACACTAGTAATGTACTTATTGATTTTACATTTTGCCCAATTGTGTAAAAATAATAAATGTATATAAAAATAAAGTTGTGTAAATATTTATGCTCAAATTACAGAAAGAAAGTGCAACTAAAGATGAAGAAATACAAAAATTAGGATTAGCAGTTAATTGTCTTGAAGCCAACATAACCAAGCTGAATGACACCTGTAAGGTAATTATATCTTTTCTGACTTGGTTTAGAACCTCTTCAGCTCCCCTACACCTTCACCAAGACATTTTGTGCTAGGAAAAAAAAGTACATAAATAAACTAGCTTGTGGTTTATATACAGTGTTTTTTTTCTTCTAACCTTCAGCTTTAAATGCTTGCTTTATAACAGATATTAATAATATATTTTTACACAAAAGGAGCATTTGAAGAAAATGGAGAACGATAAGAAGATTAATGACAACTTAGAGGAATTGAATGACAGACAGGTGAGAGAGTGCAGTAAACAAGCTGTCCACACTGGTTCCAAGCTAGACTAAAGTTGGCCATACTCCAATGGAATATCATATGGAACTATTTGTTTTCTGAACTTTTGTTCAGTTTTCCAATAGTTAAGCAGGTCAAATCAATGATCGTTTTCAACCATGGTGGCAAAAAGCATAGATTGAGCACATTTCTTGAACAAAGTTCTAACAGTAAATGTGGTTTTCATTCAGGCAACTCCATTGATTCCAAAATTGAATGTTACAATCTCCCGTACATACTGCTTGCTATTTGCACCTCTCAAAACACATACTGACTGCTAAGACATTTGTTTAGCATTGTTTGTTATATCCTCAACCTTGCGCATTTTGAAACTTGCCCATTTTCACACTTTTGCTAGTTTACATAATAGGAATGTAGAGTGTTCATTCTATAACATGATATCTTGGTACATGACATCACACTTTATTAATCTACTTTGTTGCTGCACCACAAAGGCATACTGAGCAAGGAAGCTTAGGGTCTACATTTGTAAAGAGCTACTGTGATTTTTCACAAAGAATGATTGAGTATTGCTGGACATTTTTCTCAGGATATTGTTAAACATTGTCAGGATATTGGTAAACATTCTATATACAGAACATTCACATTAGCCCCTGCCCTCATGCAGCATTTTTAGTGATCACACTGGACTGGAAAGCAGGCATTGTTTTGCCATGCGTTCCTGTGCAGGCAATCGCACTGCAGGCGGGGGTAGGGCATGGCTGTGGTGCCATTGACTTGAATGCACCACCACGGCCCTTCCCGCCTGTAGCGATAACTCCCCGCAGGGAGCCGCTGTTTGCCCAGTCCACATCTAGTCGGTCTAGTGGTTGATTTCCAGCTGCGCCCATTAGCACTAACCTCCCTCTTCTGGTGCCCATAAATTGATGTCCACTTGATTAGTAGAATGCGAAGTAAACTGTTTATTGAACATCTTCTTAGGGAGAGAGGATATAGGGGTTCTAGGTGTCAAGGGGTAACCATCATCAGCTCCAAACACTGAATCTTGTGAAAGTAGCCATGCAGCTCCACAATCCAGGAAAGAAACAAGACCCTGCTCTGAAGTCCACATAGATCCAAGGCACTTCAAGAGCCTGCACTGGTCCTATCTCTTTTCCTCTTTCCATCTCTCAGGCCTTCTCTTTGTTGGAGGCCTCGGGCAAACCTCTTCCCTCACTTCAGCCTATGCCCACCCCCCTAGCCTGAGGGGGGGCAGACTGATCAGGACCCAGCCCTAATCCATGGCTGGTCCCGGCGAGAGAGAGAGCACATGGCAGCTCCCACCAATATATGTACACTCTCCCAGCAGGCACCACTGGCTGAGAGAAGCCCAGTGGTTGGCTGCTGTACTGTACACATATTACAGTATCTATCATTGGCTGTCCCACAATATGACAGAGTCTCACTCTGCCCAGGGGGGTTCAGACAATGTTAGACACCTGAGATTAACCATGTAATTGCTACTACAAATCCAGCCAGGCTGTCTACAGCCCTGGCAATCACTAAATGCATAGTAGGCACATCAGAAAAGTTGATGGACACTACACGCCCCAAAACGCCGGGGGAGTTTATTGTGCAATTAAGTGCGTTCCAGCAGCTAACTGCTCTGGAACGCACCGTATTTGGTGTGAGCAAGCCCTCAAGGAGCTTACAATCTAAGGTCCCTATTGCACACACATACAGAGCTAATTAACCTTACAGCATGTCTTTGGAGTGTGTGAAAAAGCCGGACTACCCAGAGGAATCCCACGCAAGCACAGGCTATATAGTAATAATGCCTAAATTACACTTTTGCTTACTCACGGGGGGAAACAAAAGAGGTTTGTTCGCTTCTGGAGATACAGCTCCAATCTATAACCCATTAGTTCTGGTCCGTATTACCCAATCTTTAAACCAAGAGCGTACATCAAACAAAAAACGAGAGGTTCGGGCCGCCTACTATTTGTAGGTTGTCCAAGGGTTAATTCAGATATCGGGATGGACCATCATTATCGATTTATAAAAATTATTTATTTAATTCAGAAAAAATAATAAATCACAAACATAGGCCAATCTTCCTTCATCGACCAATAAAAACAAAAATGAAACAGTGTGAACTGATCATTACTTTTCTTGCCTTTGCTGGAGCTGTTTTTACTCTTGTGTTCTGTATCACCTCCGTCGGAGTTTTCTATATGGCAATCTTCTCCTTTTGGTTTCAAAATATATTAATATCTCAGATGTCTTCCCCCTGTGGGTTTCCCTTTTTAGTTTATTCCTTGTAGTTTAAATATTTACTCCTTCCTGTTTAATACCAGTGGAGAGATTAACCACTACGTTTCCTTGATCAGTGCCTTTCCCCTGGTGGTACCGATCGCCTATGATTAGGTAGGGCCCTTCATTAGTTCCCTGATGATATTCGGAGGTAAGCTATTCCTTTGTGTGGGAACAGGTGAGACTGTTCCTACTCATTACCAATTATTAGTCGAGATGGTTTTGTGGCATATAGTATACTGTGAGTATATTTTTACTTTCTATTCAGGGTTTTAATTTCAATCGATTAGTCCGAAAGTTCGTTATTCCTTGTAATGACAATAGTTTTTCTTTTGAAAGAAAAATGATTTTTACTCACGTATCAAATCGTCGCTCTTTTCATGTATTGTATAGCTTACCTCTCCATTTTGAGGGGAAGGTTTCATTGGTTTAAGTGAAGTGATCGGTCCAGTGGGTTGGTCCTTAGTACATGTGCATGTATATGAAGACTTTGGATTCCCAAGAGGTCCGAGTGTTGTTATTTCCAAAAGGACTTATTTTCCGCCAAGATCCGCGGTGTTTGGTGAAGACGTTTCTCTTGAGGTTTTACTCCAAGCATTGCATGTGTGACGTCTACGCGTTTTGCCCCTCCCCCGGGGCTTCGTCAGGACGTACAGCTACCTAACGTAGTGGGGTATGTATATTACCTCCTCACCTGTGTGTCATCAACTAATTGGGCCCTTTGATTGTTTCCTGGCATTCTATTAGTCATTTAGGTATTCTATCAGTTCTTGTCTTTAATAAAATAATATAATAGATATAAAATTGCTTGGGAAGAACAGTTTGTGGATATGGGATATCATTCTGTCCATTTAGAGAGATTCTTATTGAGTAGGTTAGTTTCGTCATCTAAATAGTGTTTTATTCACTTAGAGTGTTCTGATATACTCGTTTTGATCAGAGGTTTAAATGTATTTGGTATTCTCATAGGAAGACATTTAGATTGAATTCGTTATTGAGTCCAGTCGGGATAAGAGTATTCAATCTATATGTCCACATTTTTTCCTTTTGAAGGAGGATGGTGTCAAAGTCGCCTCTTCTTGGGGATAGATTTAGCGCATATATCGCTTTGACCTTGATACCTTCTGGTGATCCTCCATGTATTTCTAGGAAGTGGGTTGCTATCGGGCTGTCCTTGTCTCTTTTCCTTATGTCATTCAAGTGCTCCCCGATTCTGATCCGAAGTTGTCTCTTCGTCTTACCGATATAGTATTTACCGCATGGACATTGCAATTGGTATATTACCTTGCTCGTATCACAGTTTATAAACGAGGTAATGTTGTATATTTTGGTACCTTCAGAATTTGAGAAGGTATTGGTTTTATCCACTAGGTGGCAGATTTTGCACTTTCCACAGGGGAACATTCCTTTTGGTTTTGTTGATTCCCTACTTGATGGTCTTGATCTGAACTCAGAACTTGTCAGAGTATCCTTGAGATTCGGGGCTCTTCTTGCTGTGAGTAGTGGTCTTGGACCTACTATTTCAGAAATTGTTGGGCATAATTCGAGGATATGCCAATGCTGCTTCATAATACCCCTTAGTTTCTCCCATTTAGAGCCATATTTGGTAATCATTCTTGTATAGTTCTGTTTGGTTGGTGGGTTGCTGGTTTCTTTATCTTTCAGTAGGTCCATTCTTGTTTTATGTTTGCTTTCCATCTGCTTCTTCTGAGGAACCTATGTGGGTAGCCCCTTTCTCTAAATCTTTTGTAGAGATGTTGCGATTCATCTTTATAATCTTCCTGTTTGCTACAGTTCCTTTTAATGCGAATGAACTGGCCTGTTGGAATGCCTTGCTTCAGGGCTGGAGGATGATGACTTGTAGCATGCAGGAGAGTGTTGGCTGCCGTTATTTTTCTGTATGTTTTTGTTGTTAGTTCGTCTCCATTTATTCCTATCTGTAGGTCTAAAAATGTAAGGCTCTCTCTATTGTATGAGAAAGTGAACTTCAGGTTCAATTCGTTCAAGTTCAGATCCGACATGAAATTTTTAAGGTGGTCCTCATTGCCATTCCACAGTAGTAGGATATCATCCACATACCTTAACCAGGTCTGTGCATGTTTTAAGTATAGTGGATGTTTGTATGCCTCTTCTGATTCCCACATACCTAGATGCAGGCATGCATATGATGGAGCCCATGGGGCTCCCATCGCTGTACCCCTTATTTGCCTGTAATATTTCCCTTCGAATTGGAAGTTATTATTCTCCAAGGCGAACTCTAAGAGTTCTGATAAGAATTCGTTTTGTCTTGCCATCTCAATGTGATGTAGTTCTAGGATGTATTCAACTGCTTTTATTCCGTGTTTATGGGGTATGGATGTGTACAGGGACTCAACGTCGATTCCTACCAAGAGAGTGTCTTTTTTAATTTTCACCTTTGATAGTTTCTTCAAAACATCTTTTGTGTCTAGTGGTCCTCCCACTGCCGATACAATTGGTCTTCCTGGGGGGTTATTCAGGTTTTTGTGTATCTTCGGTATAATGTAGAATGTTGGGGTATTGAATTGTTTTATTTTCAGAAATTTAGTTTCCTTTTTCACGAGGAGTGATGCTTCCCATGCCATCTCGATTTTAAAGTTAAAATCAGCCACCAGCTGTTTAAAGGGGCACTCTTCAAGTCTTGTATATGTTTCCGTGTCTTGTAGTAGCCGCTTTACCTCTGCTAAATACATTGATTCGGGAAGTAGGACTACATTGCCTCCTTTATCGCTGTTCTTTATCACGATGTTTGGCATTGTCTTTAGTTCTTTCAAGGCCATTCTTTCCGATTTTGTTAGATTATCCTTCCCCCTTTCCGACCAATCAATGGTTTTCAGGTCTTTCTGGACCAAGTCTTTAAACAAGGCTAAATGTCTATTATTAAGAAGGTTTGGCATTGTTTTTGATTTCTCTTTGAGTGTTGTTATTCTCTTCGGTTCCTTATCATCATCTTCATGGAATTGTATATTCTCTTCTAGCAGGTCTTCTAGGTCTTAGGAAACGTAGTGGTTAATCTCTCCACTGGTATTAAACAGGAAGGAGTAAATATTTAAACTACAAGGAATAAACTAAAAAGGGAAACCCACAGGGGGAAGACATCTGAGATATTAATATATTTTGAAACCAAAAGGAGAAGATTGCCATATAGAAAACTCAGACGGAGGTGATACAGAACACAAGAGTAAAAACAGCTCCAGCAAAGGCAAGAAAAGTAATGATCAGTTCACACTGTTTCATTTTTGTTTTTATTGGTCGATGAAGGAAGATCGGCCTATGTTTGTGATTTATTATTTTTTCTGAATTAAATAAATAATTTTTATAAATCGATAATGATGGTCCATCCCGATATCTGAATTAACCCTTGGACAACCTACAAATAGTAGGCGGCCCGAACCTCTCGTTTTTTTGTTTGATGTACTCACGGGGGGACTCTGCCTGTGATTAATTTTCCTTGAATAGCCTTGCCCATGTAGACAGAGACCATCAATGAAGGCAGTTTCTTCCTTTATAAAGGATAACCACATTTGTGGCCTCATGGGGCCATACTGAGCCAGCTTTTTAGCAAGAAATACCACTCTTCCATAGCAACATACAGTAGTTCTGACCTTTGTAGAAATCTTTCACTTAAAAATTATCATTCAACAGAGAAAAAAATATCTGTAGACCTGAAATTGACTGGACTTTTTGGCGGTCCTTTTCGATTGCATATCATTTGCAAAACAGGCTGCCTCTCTTCTACAGATTTTCAACATTTGTGGGGTATTTGCATTCCTTGCAATCAATGGCAACCAACTGAGACCATTTAGCAACCATCTGTTACAGATTTGTCACACTCACAACATACGCACAACTCAGAAGTGGGCAGGGGAATGTTTTATATTAGCACAGTGCTACATTTGAGCAGAAGAGGGAAGTATTTCTAAATGTAACTGTTCATATAATAAATGTGTCACAAAGCTTCTGTTTTACACCTTGTGACTGAATTGATAGATCGCCCTTTCTATATCACGTATCCAGTGTTTTGCTCTTCTTTATAAGGCTTTCATTCTTAAAATGAAAAAGGTTTCGTAATCCCACACTTACTTTCTCAACAGGGTGATATAAAAGTCTGCATAACGCAGCATACAATTGAGATTGCTAAATAAAATTCTAGCGTGCCTTTCTTTTTTAACAGAAAATGCAACATCTGTATATAATAAAGGCACAATCATCAATTTAATTAGAGTCACTTGCCCCATAAGACTTAATGGTAAATGACCCCAGTTGTTTTGTGATACTTGAGAAAACATGTAGTTAATTCAGTTCACATAAACAACCCAAATCTCATGGTATACTGTATATATTCCATATTATTGAATATGAGATGTAGCATCTGCAAATGGTGTTACAACGATTTTTAATTCTCTCAGATCTCCTGATGACCACAAAATGTTATATTTCGTCCAATTAATAGCATAACTACAGAACTGAGAGAATTTATAATTTGACTCATTTAGGTATTTCCTTAAGCAGTCTGCTAAAAAAAACAAATAATTTGCATATAATAAAATTGCAATGATAAGTGATTCTGCTTGCCATAATGCATAGGCCTGAGGCACTAATGTATTGTTTAAAAAAGGGGGGATGGAGACAACCTAGTTTAGTGCGACTATAAATCCTATACATGAGCAAAGCACTTGAGTAGGATGTATACTTAGTTGCCATTTCTGAAAGGTTTAAATCAATGGATTCTATGTTGGACACAGGAAGGGTTGGTCATCCCTGCCAGGATCCCAGGATCCCCGCCAGGGGAAGCAAGTATGCAAACAATTTAAAACAATAGGTTAAGGTTAGTAAAGTTTATAGTAAAGTTTATAGTAAAGTGTATAGTAAAGTTGGCTATACACTGAGCAAATTTCAATCAGTTCATCAAGAACCACTCAGTGGATGGGCCTGTCTGACAGCTCTGACTCTACATCCTTTGTTTGAAAAAATGAAGAAGCCGGAAGGAAAATTGTTGGCCAAACAGCACCTGCATTCAGTCTGTATGCAGTCAGTGTAACCAGGGAGGGTTGGAGTTATACTTGCAGATATGGTTGTGTTAAGCTAGCCAGACACACCGCTGAAATTTTGTCTGATTCCTGCTGAACTGGCTGAAATTCATGCTGTGGGTGACCCTTTCAGCACCACCAGGTTTTAGGAAAAGTTGATTCTAAAATCAAAAGAGTCAGGTGAAAAATTTTCAGTCAAGCAGTGACTGCATCCAATGAAATACAGTCACTGTTGAGCAGCACCACGGCACTCAGGCAGCCACAAGTCACACTGGCTGCTGCATACAACAGCTGGTAGTGGAGATTTCTCCATCCAGGCTGTTTAGTTTGGAAATTGATTCATTTGTCTTGTTCAGCCTGAGGTTTGAACAATAGAAGTCTACACGTGTAAGTCTACCCGCATATGGTTAGCTTTAGGCAGGCAAAATTAGTGTCAGGGTTACAGAAAGGTGTGATGTTAGGGTTACAGGAAAGGTGTAACCTTAAGGTGCTCAATAAAGAGAACCTGCCACCTCCAAATGCTTGTTAGCTCCTGTGTGATAGCAATAAAGTTAAGTGAAAAAAATTGATAAGTAAAAAATAATAAAATACATTAAAAAAAGTAAAAGATAATAAGAAATAATAATTAAAATAAATAAAATGTAAATGCCATCTGGTTGCTATTCTCCATTGGAGGGGGGTGTATTGAGGAATCTGGCCAGGGGGAAGCAGAGAGAGTAAATCTGGCCCTGACCATGTGCGTTGGGCAGTGATGCTCAATGCAGGCCCAACACAGTAGCAAGTAAAAATGCATTATTTTCAATAGGCCCAGTTCACAATTCACGGTTCAAAAAAACCCCCACTGGGGGGGCGCATGCGCGCGGCGGTGCAAGATGGCTGCCTCTTGATACCGCTCCGCACTTCTTGAGCCGAGAGACACCCGCATTCAGCCATAACCCTGCTTACCGGGTCGGATCCTTAGGTTGCTTGACTCCCGAGGATCTACGTACCTGCCTGCGTGAAATGGGCCTTCAGGTCCCTGTGGAGC